CGGAAGCTAAGGCAGCCTTTGTGCTTAAAATTTTTTTTTATCTTTTGAAGGAAAAATTCTGCTGTGCATTAAATACTCTGGCTATATATAAAGCCCATCCACAGCACCGCTGTAGGAGTGAAGCCCAGCCTAATGATTTTGTCCTAGCCTACTCTCAGATCATTTTCTTTTTAAGTCTGTTCACTTAGGACCCACAGAAGGGCTCATAAGCATCCCCTAATACATTACCAAATCACTCATATATGAAATGTCAGTCTTCAAGCCAACAGAAGTTGATAGGAGCTGGTAGCATCAGCATTTTTATTTGGCATGTTTTTATATTTAAGCTTTATGTGCCTGATCTCATCTCTAAAGTTAAATTATACTATCTAACAGAAAGCCATATCTGTGTGCCCTATTGTCAATTACGTAATTCCAAAGTACAGCTGGTGAACTACTAGCTTTAACTGAAAGTTAATAATATAGCCAGGTGTTGTGGTACACACCTGTAATCTTAGCTACATGGTAGGCTGAGGCAGGAGGATTCCAAATTCCAGGTCAGTCTAGGCAACTTAGCAAGACCCTATCTCAAAATAATAAAAAGGGTTGAGGAAGTACTCAGAGGTAGTTAATTATCCAATACTGCAACGACAAAACAACACAACAAACATTAACAGACCCTCATTAAAAATTAACAGTGCCACAGAAGTCCTTGGAACATCACTGTTTTAAAAAATAAAATGGGTGGGCATTCTGAAACTACTGATACAGCCCTATTTCAAGCAGAATGCTGTATCTTTGTATAACTTCATTGTTAGTTTTAAAGGATGTCCTTGGGAGGATCGCGAAGCAATCTGGGGAGCTGGAGAGCCATGCAGATCGCCTTTATGACTCTATCTTGGCCTCTGTGGACATGCTGGCTGGCTGCACCCTTATCCCTGACAGTAAGCCAGTGACGGCAAAGGAGCGTCCATGTGAAGGAGTTTAACCCGGTAAGTAGAGGAGCCCAAGGAGAAAGTCTGCCCTGCAGCCCCGGTGCTGATTAGGGATGAGAGCTGCTGAAATAGTACTGGAGGAAGGCTGCCTGTGGTGCTGAAGTAGGGGTCACTAACACAGCCCGGAAGGAGGGTGTGAGTTTTCCTGTAGCAACGAAAGCCCATTTTGGTGTCCTCCTTACCTGGTTTCACTCCTGCTGCTGGCTGAGAACAAAAGTGCTCTGTGCACCCATCTTTATTGCATTACCTTCCCCAGTCCTAGCCCCCAGCAGCAAAATTGTCCATACTTACTTTGTTTCTGTGGTCAGGTTGCCTCTGCCCTCAGGTTCTTCTCACCATCTTATTTGATGCTGCATCTTTAAGCATCGCTGACAGCACTAAGTGCCCATGGAAACCTAGAGTTACTGCTACCTCTCCCAATGTCCCAACCCCCTTGCCTCAAAGGGTTTCTGCAAATTTCCCACACTACTCCTTCCAAAAAGGGCTGGGGGACAGAATAAAACACATCTTGGAGACTTACATAGTACAACTTTCTTTTTATCCCTTGAAAACTCAAATAGGGAAAGAGGAAAGGAGATAAAACAAAAGAGGGGCTAACTGGTACCAACCGTGGGTTTGCACTGCCCAGAACATCGTAATTTCACAACTTTTTTTCTGAAATTTCCTCTCCTACAAAATGATTTTCTAGATGTGAATTCACTGTAGCTATGTCAAGAGCAGGGAGTCCCTGCATTTTTACATCAAAGCAATTTTAGTAATTATCTTAGTTCTGAAATGGATGCATGTGATTGCTGTTATTTCTTCCTGCAACATTATGCCTGTAACAAATGCTGCTTTCTCTTTCAGGCATCTTCTCAGGCAGAGATGAAATTGTCAGCCAAAAGTTGACTCTTGGGAAGGAAACTGTCAAGAAGTACTTGCAAGAGCCATTTAACAGTTAAGGGAAAAATGTTAATATATTTGTAGCTTTAAATGCCTCTCTTCTCTGAAGTAAGGGCTATTAAATTACTGGTTTTATTTACAAAGAATCCTTCCAAACTATATTCTTTTTGGTGCTTTTCCACAGAAAGCATGTGGCTTTGCAACTTTTGTTAAAATAAGATTTACAGTTACAGGCCTTGCCTCCCCTATGTCCAGTTTAAAAAAAAAAAAAAAAGACAAAGCTCCTAAACTCTTCTTCCTGCTGAGATTATTCACAGAAGGCTGCTTTGAGAAAGAAGGTTCCAAATACTTGGTATTCTCAGACACAAAAAGGGATCTAGTGAGGCTTAGTAAGTTCCTTTTTGAAAATTTTAGCCCTCAGTCTGCAGAAGAAAAGGGGTAAATGAATAGAACTTCTACAGATTACTTCGGGCAATTGTGACATCTTTTGCCATCTTCAGGGCTTGGGTCTCCACCTTCCTGGCCTAGTATCGTAAAAGAAAATGTGTCTGGGAATTAGAGAACTGCCATTGTGCTTCAGCATGGCTAAGGAGCTAAGGATCAAACTTAGGGTATCTCTGGGAGGAGGATCCTGTCCCTCCACTCCTACTCCCTTGGAAGACTAGTGCAAGGTCAGGGAAGTGAATGGATAGGATCACACAGCCTGTTTCACTACAGAAACTAAAACTGTCAATAAAGGAAAAATGGGAATTCTTTGTTGCTTGGGAGTTGGCCTGTTAAGTACCTTGTCAGAAAAGAGAAAAATATGCATGGATATAAATATATTTGAAGCATTATCTTTAGCTTTTTGAAGCAAAGCAGTGTTTTGCTAGTGACCGCAGATTCTTTAAAAAAAAAAAAGGCACTTAAAAAGTTTCTATTTTGACATTGAATGAATATCAAAGAAACAACATTAATAGGATCCTATTCAATGTGACTTTTCTGCTTCTGCTTCTAACATTTCTCAGACTTTACAGTCACTGGAAAATAGCTGTAAGTTCTAATAATGAAAAGTGAACCATTCAAAATTAACTAACTATTCAGGGCTGGGGTTGTGGCTCAGTGGTAGAGCACTCACCTTGCACCTGTGAAGCACTGGGTTCAATCCTCAGCACCACATAAAATTAAACAAAGGTACTGTGTCCATCTACAACTAAAAAACTATTTTTAAAAACACTAACTAATCAATAGTAGCTTCACAAAAAATAAGTTCTTAAAAAGGTAGGTATGCCCAGTGGACTCTACTTTTAAATACACTGACATATTTTACCTTTTAGTTAATGTAGCTATAAAGTGGAACATGCCTTTCACTGAGTATGTTGCTGTTAATGAATTAAACCCACCCACTTAAATCAGTCTGTATTAGCATTAAAAAGTTGGGATAACCTTATAAAAACAAACTGGCCAGTATATCAATTGAATTCATATTGTGGCATTCTCAGTGTAATAACATCAGCTTCAGCTGACAGGATATTCCAAAATAACAGAATCTGAAAATTCCTACTTCCCAAGAAAATGGTAAGTGATAGATTTGTTCATCCTCTTTGAAATAAGGTGTGAAATAAGGTGCTAACTTTCTGAACCTGGCTCTAGCCACTGAGGAATATCAATATAACTGTTAATTTTACCTTCAGTTTGAGACCTCCCTTTACAACTCAAAAACAAATTGTTTCAACCTAGGAAGATGCTGGCCAGGTTAGATTCAAGTAGCCATCCCTTAATGATGAATGGAATTTGAATCCACAGTGGAGTTGCAAAACTAAAGGGTGGAATGGGTTTTTGTTGTGCATCCAGGGTGAAGTGCTAATAAATGAGAGACTGTTACAATACAGGGCTGTTCTAAAACTTAAACATGAGCATGAAAGGGTTTATGAGAGATACAGTGCAAAGGTGATGTACATGCTAAAGATTTCTTCCTATTCAAAGGGCAGACAGCGAGTTAACTGCTCAGACCATAATCACTATTACTCTGTAATGACTTCCCAGAGTGTGCCACAGCTCGGAACACTCTTCATTACCTAAGCTAATTTATGGCAGCCAGTTATATTTAAAACATAGCAAGTGATAATTCCCTTTATTTGTGAACAGGCCCATAGTAACCTTGAAATGTTTGTACTTGAAATAGGGTTAGAAATGGGAATTTGTTTTCCTCAAAACCATAATTATTGGTATATACATAAAAGCAAAGAGTGCAGCATGCTGAAATATGTTGTTGTCCCAATTTTTGACTGCCATGGGGGGAAGAACACTACAGTTCTCCCAAACTAAGTCTGTAGATATGCTTACATATTAAAGTAAATTCATGTAATGTTTTTCTGCTAACTCACCAAGAATAAGCTGACCATTTAAACATCTTTTGCTGTATGAAACTAAAGTGCATGGCATCACATTGTCTAGTATCAGTTTTGTATCATTTAGCTATTTTAGAAAATATTTTCTGAACTTTATACTGTATTGATAAGGCAAAAGAAACTTTTTTTTTTAAAGCATTAAAAACAAGATATTCACCCAAATAACTATTGGTGACTTCAGGAATTTTGTCAGTTGCCTTATGTAAGGATGAATAGATCCAACAAGCACGTCTATAATACAAAGTAAACTATGATTTTATTGTGAAATTCTCATAGATGGAAAATTAAATTGAATATTTATTCTGTCCATTTCATTTTTACAATAATCTTACCACTTATTTTTGTACCATGTATTTCAATTGCCTGTTTAGTGAAAAATAAAAATTTAAAAAAAAAACTATAATTTTTGGCTTGTTTTTAACTTAAGTTTTCTCATTAAAGACCCCACAATAAAATGTGTTGCCAACAGCCACATCCCAAGCCCGTATGTGAAGAATGTTTTGGCTGTTGCTTCAACCTAAAGAAATAATCCTTGACTTCTGTCACCTTAAAATGGTAGTGTCAGCAAAAGACTTGGTTTCCACAATAAAAATAAAAACAAACCCTAGAATCTTGAAGGTCCTATTTAACAAAATTTTCACACATGCAAAATTTCACTGAAATAAATATATTTTTCTCATTTATAATTCCCACCCAGCATTTATGTTTTCAGTTAATTTTTAGGGATATAATTTCTAAAATTAGGGCACTCAAGTTTCCTGCTTTCTCCTTTAATGCTTAAACTCTCCAACATGAGTTATACAATTGTGAAGGACAAAATAGTTGACATCTGACTCAGAGCATGGAAGAAACTTCAGCACACATTATCTGATCATTTGCCAATTACGAAGGGTGTGCCGCTCTTCACTGCTACCACAGATGAATTAACAAACTCTTGATCAGTGGAGCCATTTCAAATGATTATTTAGAGAAGCATCAGAGATGGTGGGGCTAGACAGCATACATTCTAAACTTGTTTTCCATACAATTTGAGCTTCTTGAACCACTAAAATTGATTAAATCCCTACACAGCACAGAAGCTGCCCTAGGTCATTTATCAGGTCTATAATCTAGAAGGCAAATAACTGGATGCTGCGCTACAGGTAGGTCTACAATGCCCTGGTTGCACACACAAATGGCTGTTTTCAGTATAATGCAAGGCTCTATTTCCCTTTAACCATAAGAATTAAAACAATACTTATCACCATACAGTTTGATATTACTTCCAATAAGTACAATATTTATTAAACATATCTTCAGTTGTTTTGTTACATAGTGTGCAACAAATTACAATATTCTGCAGCCACAAATTATATGCAGAGTATGAAGAAACTATTAATCAGATAGTGTAATCTTTCCATTTATAACTCTACAAGGAAGAACTAGCAAATCAGATCTTACATAGAACATCTCACTAAACTTTATGCATGGAAAGTGACAGACACTGGTTGTGCTGTTTGATACAAAATGGCTGAACTTCATCTTCAGAAGACTAAACCCGACATCTAAACATGCCAATATAAACATCAAAACAAAATATATTCTAACCAACCACGGGAAACAGTCTGGTATCAGGAAAAGCAACAAGGATTACACACATTATTTTATAAACCAGCACACAAAGGTTTAAAACAGTTCTGAAAATGAAGTTAGCTGTCTTGAGTCAAGGGAATAAAAAAAAAGTCAGTATTGACCATTTACAATCTCTGACCTTTGTGGAGACGGTAAGAATCTGTTGTAGTGCAGCTACATACAGTACAATTCAGGCAATTTTGTTTTTTCACTTGGGTTCAGATTGCAAATTCATTGCTGTGAGAAAAAGACGGAGGCAAATTTTAGCAGCAACCTCCACCTGACTGCTTGACTGGAGTGCTCTGAATTTTAACATTGGACTTCTCTGCGCCACCAGCTGTTGCTCCAGGGCCCATTCGCTTTTTAATCTCAGCTGCCATCGTCATGAAAGACTGTTCTACATTCGTTGCGTTCTTAGCACTGGTTTCCAAAAATGGGATTCCAAGGGAATCAGCAAATTCCTAAGAGAAATAAGACACAATGAACACTGAAAACCCTTTTTCAGTCCATTTCTGCCATATAAAATGGGAGTGAGGAGAGTCTAAAATTTCACTGGATCCAAAGACACTACATGTACAATTGTTGTCAGTATCCTAGTACACATTTTTAAGCATTAAGGTGGTTGGCTGTATGGTCATCATGTGACTTCATATCCATTCGTAATTAAAATTCAACAACTTCAAATTCAATTTGAAAATCAAACTTTAAACATACCTTTGCTGTTGTGTAGTCTACTACTTTCTTTGTGGTCAGATCACATTTGTTCCCTACCAACAACTTGTTGACATTTTCACTAGCGTAACGATCTATTTCCTGCAGCCACTGTTTAACATTATTGAAGGACTCCTAAAAAGACAGATATTTTTAAGAATGATCATACATACAATTCTGGACAGGCTTAAATATAAAAATATTAATAGAGGAAAATACAGCTTAACATTTAAACTAGCAAACCCAAATTGTTTTTGAGATGTGCAAATCGAATGTACTATAAAGCATAGTTTTTGAAATTCAATATAAAGTTTTGATTTATGAATAAGTGTTAAGTATTACTCCCAGATGCATCAAAAGATGCTATTTGGGCCAGTGCAGTGGCGCACACCTATAATCCCAACAGCTTGGGAGGCTGAGACAAGAAGATCACAAGTTCAAAGCCAGCCTCAACTGTGAGAGGCTATGCAACTCAGATCCTGTCTCTAAATAAAATACAAAAGAGGGCCCTGAGTTCAATACCCAAATAAAAAGGGCTGGGTATGAAGCTCAGTGGTGTGGTGCCCCTGAGTTCAATTCCCAGTACCCCCAAAAAAATTATTTGGGCTGGGACTGTAGTTCAGTGATAGAGGGCTTGCCTAACATATGAGGTCCTGGGTTTGATCTCCAGCAAAAAATATTCTTTTTTTTTTTTTTAACATCTCAGTAATTTGAAGAGACTTTCGAACTTAGCACTCTTCCCCAGGTTTTCTTTTTTTTTTTTAATTTATTTATTTATTTATTTATTTTAGTTCTCGGTGGACACAACATCTTTGTTGGTATGTGGTGCTGAGGATCGAACCCGGGCCGCACGCATGCCAGGCGAGCGCGCTACCGCTTGAGCCACATCCCCAGCCCCTTCCCCAGGTTTTCTGGAGATAGAATCTTGCTATGTTGCTCAGGCTGTCCCCAAATTATTGACCTCCCACTTTAACCCCTCCTAGTGAAGCCAGATTTAAAATTAGGTAGTCAGTGTAGTTAGGTAAATCGGGTCTAATATCGAGTGAAATCTAAAATGGAGGCCGTGTGGAGAATGACTCGGGAAAACACAGGACAACTCATGGAATGTTAATGAAGTCCCAAAAGGCCCTAGGCCAAAGTCCACCTCAAAGAAATGTTAATGAACAGCCCCCAGCAAAAAGGTGCTGACTCAGAAGTCCTTCCTGACCAGATTACTTCTTTGGCCCACCTGTGTCCCACCCCTCGGTCCTTCCCACCTACATTCCATCACTGAAAGAACTATAAAAAGGGGAGACAACATCCCTTCCACGGATTCCACCTCTTGGGTCCCCTTCTTCCTCCGGGAGAAGTCTTTTCTGCTGTCCTTTAATAAACTTCTAATTTCTACTCTGACCTTGCCTCGGCGTGCTTCTTTGGTGTTATTCTTCAACATTGGGGAAGCAAGAACTCGTCACCGGTCAACAGCGGTAACACTAGTATCTGACTGCAGGTGGGTGCTGTGCCACATAACATTTTTTCTCTATGCTTCTAATGGCACTGAATCTGAATCTAAGTGTAAAATATCTCCTTAATTCATAGCTGAGATGAGATTTTAAGATTTAGCATTTGCTACAAGAAAAATGAATTCCAGGGCTGGGAATGTAACTAGCTCAGTAGTGGAATGCTTGCCTAGCATGCACAAGGGCCTGCCACAAATAAAGGAAAATGAACTCCAATTTTATTAGGTTTTTATTCTTTCTCATAGGGGGAAAAAAAAGTGATCCTGAAATCTGCTAAGTTTCTGATCAAAAGAAAACTTAATGGCCCGTGGACCACATTCTCCCCACATCTTCCTGATTTCTTTCAGACATTCACTCTACTAAAATCCTCCTATAGCATATTCCATTCAAATTCTGAACCATAACCAACACATCTCACTTTTGGCAATTCTGATAGGAAGAGTCTAATCACCAGGTATATTATTGTTTCTTTGTTTTTTAAATATTCTTTTAGTTGTAGACAGACATGATACCTTTATTTTATTTATTTTTATGTGGTGCTGAGGATCAAACCAGTGCCTCACATGTGCGAGGCAAGCACTTGCCACTGAGTCCCAACCCCAGCCCCAGGTATTCTGGTTAATATATAAAATAAAGATTGCAATACAAGAAACCATACAAGCCATAATTCCCTACAATTCTCACCTTAGATCATTTATTTATAGTTGATAATGACTGCCAGAGTCTCTTGAAAGTAAATGTAAAAATAATTACTAAATTGTCTATTTACTAAAGGTAAATAAATATCTAAATGATTCATTGGGGGAGACAGGGCAGTACTAGGAATCAAACCAGGACCTTGAGCATGCTAGACAAGAGCTCTACCACAGAGCTACATCCCAGTCCATGATTCACAGTTTTATTTGAAGAGAGTTGTGGCCTTTTTAAATATCAGGGATTGAACCCAGAAGTACTTAGCCACTGAGCCACATCTCCAGCCTTTTATTTTTTGAGACAGGACTCACAAAGTTGCTTAGGCAACTGGGATTAACAAACATGCACTACTGTGCTAAAGTGAGGAAAATCTTCTGCCATAAAAATAATATTGATGTCTTATATTAAAGTAAAAGAATCTGACATTAGTCAAATAGTAACTTCATGCTTTGTCACTGTAACACCATCTTCTCTTGGAACTTACCTGATCTGTCACATCATACACAACTATGATGCCATGGGCTCCTCTGTAATAACTGGAGGTGATTGTTCGAAATCTTTCTTGGCCTGCTGTGTCCCACTATTACAAAACAATCAAGAAACCAAACAGTTCCATTAAAACAGAGTTGGGGAAGGTTCAGAAGGGAAAACAATCTAGTTGTACAGATTATCAGGATGTGATATGGAAACAACAGTCCTTAATATTCATATTAAACTGCACTGCCTAATACATGGAAGTCCAGAAAAGAAAGTAATGCCTGCAATTTATCCCGTGGTAATGCTATCAAAATTATAAGCTCTTCGTGAGCACAAACCATGTTACGCTATTCATATTCTGTATAGCGCTTAACACTATGCTAGGCACACAGGTTGACTTGGTTAGGAAAGGGGCCCAAAGCCCCATGAACAGAAATACACCCTCATGAGGCAGAGTTAATGGCTAGCATGTTTTATCATCATAGAAAGAAAGAAAAGGATCTACTTCAGGTAACTACTCATCAAAATAGCATTTTAACCACTGCAGCCAGGTACTCTCTTAATCCTAGAAAAAGTAATGTATCAAAGACACTTACATTACAACATTAATACTGTGAATTTAAAAAAACTATTTTGAAAAATACCAAGAAGAAAACTCAATTTTTAAATTTACAAAGCCTTGGTTTTTATGCAAGCTCAGGGAAACAAGCACAAAATTGTGTAAATTATACCCTGGTTCTAATTCAGCCCCCATTACTGTCTCTCTATAAACATCAACATCCATGAACAAGGGGTTGCTGTTTCTCCTAGAGATAGCCTACATTCTCCTTTGAATGTGTTGGTGCTTTCCAAAATAAAAATGTGTGCATGTCTAGAAAAAAGGAGGGGAAAAAAAGGCCCTGTTTGTAACAGGATGATGGGCATTTTGTTTGCTCCTAAACAATGGCCTCCTCTTTAAAAAGTGTATAATTAACCAGGCACCGTGGCCCATGACTGTAATCCCAGCAGTTTAGGATACTAAGGCAGGAGAATCACAAGTTCAAAGTCAGCCTCAGCAATTTTAGTGAAACCCTGTCTCAAAATAAAAAATAAGGGCTAGCAATGTAGCTCAGTGGTATAGTGCCCGTGGGTTCTATCGCCAGTACCCAAGAGTATATAATTAGAATAGTTACTCTACCATAAGTTACTGATAGGGCTGGGGAAGTAGCTCTGTATTCTAACATGCCACAAAACCCCCCAGGGTTTGATCTTGAGCACATAAAAAGACCCCTGTAATTCTGGTAAAATTTAAAGACCAGCTGGATATTAACACATAAGTGTTAACTTTGTTAAATGTGATTTTAAAAAATAGTAATAAAGTAAAAGACAGTTGCATTCTGGAGCAAAGAAAAAAATCACAATGTCTTTAAATCTGGGGGGCAGGGCATGGTATGGGTATAGAGCCCAGGGGCACCTACCACTAAGCTGTATCCCAAGAGTTTTTTTTTTTAAATACCAGGGATTGAACTCAGGGGCACTCAACTACTCAGCCACATCCCCAGCCCTATTTTGTATTTTATTTAGAGAAAGGGTCTCACTGAGTTGCTTAGTGCCTCACTTTTGCTGAGGCTGGCTTTGAACGTGCAATCCTCCTGTCTCAGCCTCCCAAGCCATTGGGATTACAGGCATGTGCCACCGTGCCCAGTTATCTCAAGCCACTTTTATGCCACCGTGCCCGGTTACCCCAAGCCATTTTTATGATTTTTTTTTTTTAATTTGAAAATAGGGTCTCACTAAGTTGCTGAGACCAGTCTTTTTTTTTTGAGAGAGAGAATTTTTTAATATTTATTTTTTAGTTTCGGTAGACACAACATCTTTGTTTGTATGTGGTGCTGAGGATCGAACCCGGGCCGCACGCATGCCAGGCGAGCGCGCTACCACGTGAGCCACATCCCCAGCCTCTCTAAGACCAGTCTTGAACCTGAAATTTTCCTGCCTCCTCCTCCCAAGTCACTGGGATCACAGGCATACAAGGTGGTGACCACACCTGGCTTGTAATTTATTTTAATATACTCAATTCTCAGAAGAAAAAAAAAATGCATATAATGAAGCAAATAATCGAAAAGATTAACAGTCATTATCTAAAACCAAAAACATGAGGCTTCATTTCTTTTTCTATCCAAATTACTAAGTCTGAGAGCTCAGAAGACTAATTTGAGCTATTGTTATCAATAAGGAGCCTCTAAGTTTTTAAGAATATCACTGGAGAAGCATGACCTCTGAAGTCAAGCCAACCTGACTACAAAAAAATCAAATCCAATTTCATGGTTCCTGTTAACACCAAAGAATCATTTACCAGTTTCTTCAGCTGTAAATCAAAGATGCCACTCATCTCATGCAACTGCTGAAGTTTAACTAATGTTTTTAAAATGCATGGCAAGGTTTGCCTGACTATAGAAGCTATTCAGTAAAATATTAATATTTCTTTCCCTTCCATGCCCAAAGACTCCTTTCACAAGACAGTATAAGAAAAGAAAGTTTTCTGACTAAAAGTTAACAAGGAATCATAGCTAACTAAAATAAGAAATGGCATCTAAAGAGTACTATTTCTGATGACTCTTTGCTACCCTGAAGATCTTCCTGACTCAGTATACCAACAGCACTAATAGTACCCTCTCTTATCACAGGGTAACTGTTTTTTCTCTTCAACTGAAACATGATCTTATGGCTGTTTTTCTCTGTAACTTCAACTATCCAATGCCTGGTATAAATGTAGGCGTTTCCATGTTATGTTCCATGAATGAATGAAAAATTACAGAAAGAGGCCTTTCTATGACTAGACTCCACCACCTATCCTATCCTACCCAATGTTTTGTAAAATGTTTCTTTAGGGAGGTTTGGGGAGGGGGGTGTTGAACCCAGAGGCACTTTATATCACTAAGCCACATCCCCAAACCTTACTTTTTATTTTGAGTCAGGGTCTCAATAAGTTGTTTACAGCCTCACCTAATTACTGAGACTGTCCTTGAACTTGTTATCTTCCTGCCTTAGGAGTCTCTGGGATTACAGGTGTGTACTACCCATGCCCAGCTTAAAAAAAAAAAAAAAAATCACTAATTTCATTAAAGACCTAGATGTCACAATTGAATAAGAAAAGCTGAAATGAAAACATAATTAAAATATAAGTCAACAGAATCAAGAGTGTGAAAGACCTAGAAGAATACCTGGAAAGATAAATGAAGCCTAACAAGATGAAATGTAACAGAGTTAAAAGTAAAATTCTGCATGCAGATTTTAAAAGCACTAGTCACAGAAATATAAGATAAAACCTTTTTCTTTGTTGGTACTGGGGACTGAACTTAAGGGTACTCAACCACTAAGCGACATCCCTAACTCTATTTTGTATTTTAGTTAGAGATACGGTCCCACTGAGCTGCTTAGCACCTCACTGTTGCTGAGGCTGGCTTTGAACTCGAAATCTCCTGCCTCAGCCTCCCCAGCTGCTGGGACTACAGACATGTGCCACCACACCCAGCTCTATTTTTTTTTTTTTTTTAACTAAAAACAAACAAACCAAAATTTTAAGATCTGCATTACTAGGGTAGTATGGCTATTGGACAGCAAAAGTAAACTAACTTTCTTTTTATCTCCTCCAGGGGATTAATGATGAGGAGGGACATGAGCCCCTAAAGGCCAGAAAGAAAACTGTAATCTTGAGTTACAGGTTTTAAAAACATATGTTCCAACAAGGAATGGCTGACCAGCTTTAGAGACAGAAAGGTTGTGTGATAAACTCAATCTACATGGCAGCCTGCACCAGCAGACAGGAATCAGTCTGATTCAGGTAGCTTCAAAAGGCAGAGAAATAAGATAAAGGAAACTGGCTTTAGCTCAATAGAATTAAAAATTAGGTTACAAATAGGAGTAGATGCTTTGAAAAATGATGAATTTCCCAAAAATTTAAAAACAAAAAAACGTAGTACCAGATATGGGAAGGAAATTCCTAATGAAAATGAAAGGCAGAATGAGTGACCTATAAGATCCTTTCCAGGCTGGGGATATATAGCTCAGTTGGTATAGTACTTGCCTCATATATACACAAGGCCCTGGTTCAATCCCCAGCACCACAAAAAAAAAAAAAAAAAATCCTTTCCAGCCACTGTCAAGTAAACAAAATATGAATGTTTCACAAACATACACTCAAATCTTATGATGATATCATCACACTCATAATAATCCTTAGCTTATAGGCTTAGGCAGGTCTTTTTGCAGTATTCTCTACAATGGCACATACTCTAGCTATAATGTGAAAAATCAATATGGAAGGTAACCTATTCATTGGTTCAAAACATTTCAAAAGCTATTTCTGATAACTATATCCTTAGAGTATCAATATCAGTACCTGGGACTACAGACATGTGCCACTTTGTATTCACTTGTACCAAAATCAACAGATCTTTTCCCATGTACCTTCCTTTCCTCAATACAAAAATAATAATAAAAATAAATAAAATAATAAAAACCTATCAAACATCCATTTATCTGAACATGCATCAGTAACATCTAAATAGTACACAAAAGTTCAAAACAGGCATTCACATCTCTCATATGCACCTACAGAGCTACTACATTTGATTCTCACAGCTATCTTATAAATTGATAAAAAAAGTCTGATGATACCTAATTTTTTTTTTTTTTAAAGAGGTACTGCATATTGAACTCAGGGCTGCTCTACTAATGAGCTACATTCCCAGCCTCCACCTCCCGGCTTTTTAAGACAGGGTCTCACTAAGTTACTAAAGTCTTGAATTTTGAATTTGTGATCCTTCTCTCTCAGGAGTCATCTCCGGGAGGATTAAAAGTATGTGCCACAGTGCCCAACTCATCAGACTCATTTTAGAGAGGAAACTGAATTATCAAGGGAAATAAGTTAAACCCACAACTAACATAACTACCAGAACCGAGACAATAAATATAAACTCTTATTCAAAATTCAAGACTGCTTCCAGTTCACGGTGGCATCAACTCCAAGAAAAGAAGTTACTGGTTTTCTAGTTTATCTCATACTAATAGTCAACTCTAAAAGATACTGGCATTTATTTTTTTAAGTTCACATATATGTCCACAATGGCAGCACCAAGATCCATATTAAAGAAATACAAGTAAACTTACAACTGCCTGCATTTAATTGGAGGTTGGGGATTGATATGGGGGTTAGGATAACCTGGGAACACAACATACTGAAGACAGAGATATAGGTCACTTGGTTCTGCCAGTAACTTTAGCCAATCATTAAATCTCTCAGCATCCATTTTCTTAGAATAAAATGACCATGTTAATTTCATGGTCATTTTAGTCTGTTTCCTTCCAACCAAATTTTATGTTTCTATAAAATTGGTGCATAGTATACTATCTAAAAAAGTACAACAGAACTAAATAGATACTTCTTTTTTTAAAAAATAATTTTATTTATTTATTTATATATCTTTATTTTATTTTTATGTGGTGCTGAGGATCGAACCCAGTGCCTCCCGCTTGCCAGGGGAGCGCACTACTACTTGAGCCATATCCCCAGCCCCTAAATAAATACTTCTTTTCAACTAAACTACCTATGAAGTGCCTCTCCTAGGTTTCTTTTAATGTTCCACAGCACTCTTACAAAGTCATACAGAAAATGCTCAGTAACACTTTCACCATAGACAAAGTAACTTAGCTCTCCACCAATGAAAAGAAAGTGAGACTAAGACCAAGTTTGACTCTAAAATGTGAAATTCTCTGCCTTATAAAAATCCTAATTCTTGGAAATTATTTTTAGTCTAAACAATTATTCTACCATCCTATCACAGGTGCATGATTCTTACGATATTCTGAATCCAATTTTGTCAGTATTGAGAGGCCCCGAGTTCAGTCCCCAGCACAAAGGTCTGAACAAACAAGGAGGGAGGAAGAAAGGATAAGGGAGAGAAAAATGTCAATGAGAAAACTAATCCTAGGAAATTATAAGTATAAACAATTATTGTACCACACTTATCATAAATGCATGACTTAAAATACTTTTCTGTTCAATTTTGTTAGCATATTAAATATACATGTATAAAATAGTACATTCTAAATTTACCAAAAATTTTTCCAAAGGAATTTCCAGCTGAAAGCCACTTACTATTTGAAGCTTGATTGTTTTCCCATCTAACTCTATAGTTCTTATTTTGAAATCCACACCAATTGTGCTGATGTAGCTTTCTGTATATGTGTCATCCTGCAGTGGGAAAAAAGTTAATAATGAACATTGTTCAGTAAATTTTTAAATGTTTACTTTTACCTATAGTCAAAGTTTATTCTGTTTTTGTTTTTTGTGGTGCTAGAGATAAACCTCACACATGCTAAGCAAGCACTCTACCATGGAGCTTCATTCCTAACTCTGAAGTTAATAAAGTTTATAAAATGTTGACAAGAGCCCTCTACCCTGCTCTAGTACTCACTTCATGTTCTGAATACAAAGTGTTGACTAGTTAAAAGTAGTTTCTTTTGTCCTTAAGATTTTTTTCAATAGCAAATCATTTTGTTCCCAAATACCTTTTTACCAATTCCTTACACATATCATAAATAAAAATATTTTATAAGTGTGATTATAAATGATTTTTCTATTTATTCCATCCATACATCCACCTACCTACATTTATGAGATAGGATCTTGCAACATTGCTCACACTAGTCTCTTGAGCTCAAATGATCCCCCCAACCTCAGCCTCCCAAATGCTGGGACCACAGATGCATGCCCAATATAAATACCTTCTCTAATTGCTATCCAGCAAAACTCTTGCTCCCCACCCACCCAATTTATTCATCACAAAGTATGATTACACTTCACTCCCTCCTGGATTTTTTTGTTTTAAACAAATCAACTGTATTTGCTAGTTATGATTTTTCCCCCAGTACTGGGGACTGTACCCAGAGGTGGTCTACTACTGAGCCACATCCTCAACCTTTTCATTTTTTAAGACAAGGTCTTGCCAAGTTGCCCAGGTTGGCCAAGAAATTCAGATCCTCCTGCCTTAGTCTGCTAAGCAGCTGAATTACTAGTGTGCACCATAGTTATGGTGGGGTTTCTTTTGGCTGCACTAGAGATTGAACACATTGTACTGGGCAAGCTCTCTACCACTGAATTACTATGATTCTTTAAATTGCTATGTAAGGCGCAAAAGACTCACCCTTCTAAAGTATACAACTGGACTTTAGTATATAAACAAGTTTGCATAATTGTCACCAGTATTTAATTTCATAATATTTTATGACCCCAAAAGGAACCCTATACTCATTAACAGCCCCACAGCTCCTCCCTATTTCTACTTTGTCTCTGTAGACTTGAACATTATGGATATTTCACATAAATAGAATCACATAATATATGGTGTTTTGTGTCTAGTTTCTTTTACTTAGCATGTTTTCAAGCTTAGTCCATATCGTAATATATATCAGTACTTCATTTTTATGGATGAATAGCATTCCATTGTATGAATACAACACATTTTGTTTAACCACTCTTATATATCTGGGTTGTTTCCACTTTTTGCTTATTGTGAATAATGCTACTATGAATTTATGTATAACAGTTTTCGTGTGAACACATTATTTGTCAATTTTTAAACCCAATGTTAAACTTTTAAATTTGCACCTGTTTCTCTAAAGTCATAACATTTTACTCAGAATGAAAACACTTTTAAGTGGGGGAAGGAAAAAAAAGTATTTTGTGAAGCCAGGTAAGGTGGTACATCATGCTTATATTCCAGCAACTCAGGAGGCTGAGGAAGGAGGATCGTAAGCTTGAGGTCAGCTTGGACAACCCAGCAAGACCCTGTCTTAAAATAAAAATTAAAAGGGTTGGGAATGTAGCTCAGTAGTAGAGTATATAAGAAAACGTCTAAAACCGAGTACAGTGGTGTACACCTGTAATCCCAGAGACTCAGGAGGCTCGGGCAGGAATATCTCAAGTTTGAGGTCAGTCTGAGCATCTCAGTGAAACCCTGTCTCAAAATAAAAAATAAAAAAGGTCTGAGGATATAGCTCAGTAGTCAAGCACCCCTGGATTCAATGCCCAATACTCCCAAATGAAGAAAAGACAATCTCACTCCATTTGAAAAAATGTCTGCCAGCTACCCAATTCTGCGTAACTACAGTTTATCTGTCAACTGGTTCTTTAATGTATAGAGGGAAAAACCCAACAACAACAAAAAAAATCTAATTCAACTCAAATCAACTACTCTAATACTTTTCTGAGACAACCAACACACCCTAGTATGCAGTGAAGTGCTTTATGTGTACTTCCTATTTCTTCACACGGGTCTTTAAGAATCAAATTTTTTTAAAAAATTAATTATTTTTACTATTTTTGTTAAGGACATTCTTAGGTGAAAATGGCTTTTCAGGGTGGGGGTGCATATCAATGCACAAAGGTGAAGAATATCATGACTGTGAGTACAGTTTGGTTTTTAACACTACCTTAATGTGTACCCAAGATGCCAGCAGCAGTTTTAGCCACCAATACTTTTGCACCATCACAGCAAATATCAGCACAGTGAAAAAGGTAAATGTTTTTTGTTGGTATAGTTCCTAATTAAATATTTACTTACGATTTAGGGGTGTAGCTCAGTGATAAAAGAGATTGCCTAGCATGCATGAGGCCCTGAGTTTGATTCCCAGCACCATAAAAAACAAATCTAACATTAGAATACTACTACAAAGACCCTGAGAGGGTCTTGATAACCCCTAGTCCATATTTTAAGAACCAAAGATCTATACAGTGAGAAGGGAAACATGCTAAATTAAAAGTAGTTTTTAATCATTAAAAATTAAGGAGACTGTGGATTGTATTATGCCAAAAGTCATATTTCTGTGAGTTTCTGCATACAGAACGCCATGCCATTCACTGTCCAACAAAGTTTCTACTAGGCCCTACTTTTTCTCTTTGTTCTATTAAAATTTAACTTGAAGTTTTCTTTTCATGTCAATTTCAACACAAGCCAACTATTTCCCCTTAACACCTATTAGAATGAACGACTGTGTGACTTCTACCAAAATATCAGACACTCTGATTTTATAACCACATTTTGGTATATTTCTTTAAAGGGCAACATTTATTTAACAATCCCAGTATACCACTAGGGATGTACAACTGCAGTTTTAAATGTATATTAATTCTGGAAGAAATAAATTTACTCAGAATAAAAACCTTTTTGTCTACATAGAAAATACAGCATTAACTGTATTATTATAAAGCATTTTAAATTCAACTTACTGCAAACCTAAGAAGGAGGCAAGACTTTCCAACCCCGGAGTCGCCAATCAGAAGTAACTTGAATAAATAATCACTGCAAAAAGAAAAAAAAAATCACATTAATAAAAAGTATATTGCATTGTAATTTCCATAATGATAAGAACATGGTTTCTAAAAATTTTAAAAACAACAACACATGGATAATATTAACAGCTCACTGTGAGGACTACAGCTCCTGAAAAACCCATGGGTGGCTTAAAAGAAGCCAAAACTAGAACCAAAAGCAACTCTTACTAAACATGACAGAATTACATAAAAGGAAGATAGTCAATAAAACCCATGTCACTGAGACCCCTGAACTTCCTCTTCCAAGGAAAGAATGAAAGGAAATATGTGATACACATTCCTGAAGAGCCCAAACAAATTCCAGCTCCTCTACAGAATTAGAAGAGAAAGTTAAATGTCTATTGTTCCAACCAATGAATGTATTAGGGTTTCCTTCAAATTCCAAAACCAAATCATTATTTCATGACATTCCTCCAATGAAAGGGATTTTATGATCCTTTCCCAGCATCCCACCTGGAATTATCCCTCAAAAAACAGATCATTTCTGAAAGACAATATTATAAACATTTTATGTTAGAAATGTGATAAAACCAAAGGTGATTTATTCAAGCTCAGAACTTTACCAACATTCTAAGCTTGTATTCAACTATCCTTCAAAAACACTGAAAGCTAGACTCTGCCTATGTCCTCTATTATTGCCAGGTCTAACTCAAAAACCAGCCCCCAAGAATTCCTCCTGGGACCTGAACACAACAATAGATTAGGACTCCCAAGAAATCTTTCATAAATCATTACCAACTCAGACAACTTCCATATGTTCTCAGCAAATTAAAAAAGAGCAGGGGTCTTAGCTCAGTGGTAGAGCACTTGCCTACATGTGTGAAGCACTGAGGTCAATTCTCAAGGCCACATATAAATAAAGGTCCATCAACAATTAAAAAAAAGTTTAAGAAACATTCAAAAGGACAACAGATCAAGAATTTACAAATTCTTTTTTATTTATAAAGTTTATATGGTTTTCAATTTTCTCATTTGTGTCAAAAATGAGAAAATTTTAGTTTTCTTTTTTTTTCAAATTTTCTCATTTTAGTTTTAAAAGCTAGTATCTACTTAAAGGTGAAAAACAAAAGTCACAAAATTTAAATTAGGTTATATTAGTATTATTTACATAAAATGTAAAACTTTTAGAACTGATTATCTGTGAATATTCACAGAATGTTACCTAGGTTTAGAGTAATAATGCATTATTTTAAATATCAATTTGGTTTTACCAAATTATGATATACTTATTGTTCCTAACTATAATTGAAGAATTTAAAAAAAAAGTTCTAGCAGTAGCAAAATAGACATACAAAAGGATATTAAAAGCTTAGAAATAAAGATATTGTGCCCACCTGAAACTAAAAAATAAATTTAAAAAAAAAAAAAAAGCTTAGTAAATCAGAAGCATTGTAGCTCAATGTTACAGTGCTTGCCTAGTACTTGTGAGGGCCCTGCATTCAATCCCTAATGCTACAAAAATTAAAACAAGAACAGAATGAATCATAGTATGAACTAAATAATTAAAATCCTTTCAATTTTAGATTATTTGAATAAACAACCTGAGTCATCTGTACTGAACCCCAAGGCAATAAAAGGACTGCATTAGGCCACAGATGATGTCTAAGGTATGGTACCTTAAAGATCAAATTCTCTACTTTCAGAGCAACCATAAGGCTGGAAAAAACATGAATACTTCCTAATTGTTACAAGTAACAAAGCTTCTAAAACTTAGATTTTAGTCTTAAGCAATGGTGCATGCCTACAACCCCAGCGACCTAGGAGGCTATAAAGCAAGAGGATTGTAAATTCAAGGCCTGCCTGGGCAACTTAGACAGTATGGCAAAATAAAATTTTTTAAAAGGGCTAGGAATGTACTGCAGTGGTAGAGTGCTTGCCTAGTATGCAGGAAGCCCCAGGTATGATCCCCAGTAATACAAAAAGGGAAAGCGAAAGGAAGGAGGAAAGAAAGAAAAAGAGTAAAAATCTTTAAGTCATTTTTTTCAGTTAATATTAAAGTTTTAAAAACAGCAATTTTATTCGAGATATTTGAGTTTTAGACATTTCTGTAACTATAATTTACAAAACAACAGTAAAACTGTCATAGAAAATATACAAACCTAGTAAGCTAGGTCCAGTGACACATGCCTGTAACAGCAGCAGAGACCTGGGAGCCTGAGGCATGAGGATCACCAAGTTCAAGGCCAACCTCAGCAACTTAGTGAGACCTTGTCTCAAAATAAAAACTAAAAAGGGTGGCTATGGAGGCTGAGACAGGAGAGTTCAAAGCCAGCCTAAGCAAAAGCAAGGTGCTAAGCAACTCTGTGAGACCCTATCTCTAAATAAAATACAAAAAAGGGCTGGGGATGTGGCTCAGTGGTTGAGTGCCCCTGAATTCAACTGTCGGTACCCCCCACAAAAAAAAAAAAAAAAAAAAAAGGTTAGGGTGTACCTCAAAGGTAAAGCGCCCTTGTGTTCAATCTTTACTATACCCTCCCCCCACAATAAAGCACACAGGAACCAACCTGAAAATTCGCTCAATGAATAAGCCAAAATAATTTTGAGCCACAACCAGATATGGTGGCACATACCTATAATCCCAGCAACCCGGGAGAATGAGGCAGGAGGATTAAAAGTTCGAAGCCAACTTGAACAACGTAGTGAGGCCGTAAACAATTTAGGGGAGACCGTCTCAAAATAAAACATAAAAAGGGTTGGGGATATGTCTCAGTAGTTAAGCACCCATGGGTTCAATCCCTGGTACCAAAATAATAACATCAACAACGATAATTTGAACCACAAAGTAAACAACCATGTATTGCTGGATTGCAACTCAAAGAACAAATATCCTTGAATCTACACTAGTATAAATTAAATAAATGGGAGAAGAGGGGGCTGGGGCTGTGGCTGTAACTCAGTGGTAGAGCACTTGCCTCGCATGTGTAAGGCACTGGGTTCAATCCTCAGTACCACATAAAAATAAAGATATTTTTTAAATAAAATTTTTTTAAATGGGAGGAGACAAATCTTCCCTAATAGGAAAATTCCCATAATACATGTAGAAGAAATAAGAGAAATAGATCAATAGATCTCCACATTATTAACTGCTGTGTGGGCGATCTACTGCCAAGCGCTTTAATTAGTGGATAAAATTTAGAAGGAGAAGCAAGATACAGTGGTGCATGTGTGTAATCCCAGCTACTCAGGAAGCTGAGGCAGGAGGACTGCACATTCAAGACCAGTTTGGGCAACATAGTGAAATCCTATTTCAAAAATTTTTAAAAGGGTTGGGGATGTGACTCAGTGGCACAGCACTAGCCTAGCACACTTAAGGCCCTGGGGTCAATCAATCCCCAGTACCACAAAAATAAACCTTAAAGGAGAAACAGGATATTTGCATAGCAAAGAATGTCCCCCAAAGTGTTTATTTCTGGTGGCTTTAACATATCCCACAAGTTATTTGACTATTCCTCCCACAAGGAGGAGTGAACTGTACAATACTTGATTGATTTCTAATAAAGTGTTATCAAAAGGAGAAAATTGGGGCTGGGGCCATAGCTCAGTGGTAGAGCTAGAGCGCTTGCCTGGCACATGTGAGGCACTGGGTTCAATCCTCAGCACCACATAATAATAAAAATAAAGATATTGTGGGCTGGGGATGTGGTTCAAGCAGTAGCGAGCTAGCATGGCATGCATGCGGCCCGGGTTCGATCCTCAGCACCACATACAAAAACAAAGATCTTGTGTCCGCCGAAAACTAAAAAATAAATATTAAAAAATTCTCTCTCTTAAAAAAAAAAAAGAAGATATTGTGTTCATCTCAACTAAAAAATATTAAAAGAAGAAAATAGTAACTTCACTGTGGAGAAACCTGACATTGCTTTAAGTATGTGGTGAAGGTGGGGCTGGGGATGTGGCTCAAGCGGTAGTGTGCTCGCCTGGCATGCGTGAGGCCCGGGTTCGATCCTCAGCACCACATATAAACAAATGTTGTGTCCGCCGAAAACTAAAACTTAAATATTAAAATTCTCTCTCTCTTTTTAAAAAAAAGTATGTGGTGAAGGTAATCACCAGTAATGTTCCAGTAATAAGACCAGAAATAATTTTCCAGTAATGAGAATATCATCAGTATGACCAGCAACTATATCATATTGATATCACATGTCTTCTGATGTAATATGAACAGACTTCTGTGGTTCCTGTGTTATTTTCCAAAAAAATCTATAAACCCCATCTAATCATGTGAAAACAAACACAAAATGATGGACATTCTATAAAATCCAGTGCTTATTAGCACTCTTCAAAAGTGTCAAGATCAGCAACTTGAGAGGCTGAGGCAGGAGGATCTTAAGTTGCAGACTAGCCTCAGCAATTTAGCAAGGTCCTAAGCAATTTAGCAAGACCCTGTCTCAAAATAAAGATTTGAAGGGGGCTAGGGATATGGCTCAGTGGTACAGCACCTCTGGGTTTAATCCTCAGTACAAAAAAAAAAAAAAGGGTCAAGATCATTTTTATATTGTGTGCATGTACAGATATGTAACAACAAATCCCATCATTATGTACAACTATTATCCACCAATAAAAAAATGTGGGGGAAAAGAAGAGTTAAGATCATGAAAATAGGAGAGACTAAGAAATTCAGATTGAAGGTGACTAACATGACAAAACACCTAAATACAACATGGTATTCTGAATTAGATCCTAGCATAGTAAAAGTAGAAAACTGAAGAAATTAGTATAAAGTCTACATTTTAGGGAGCAATGAACCAAGGTTAATTTCTTAATTTGACAAATGAGCCATGTACACAAGATGTTAATATTGTGGAAAGTTGGATGAAGAATAACACACAGGAACTCTCTACATTGTTTCTGCAACTCTTTGATGAATCTAAATTTAGTTCAAAATAAAACATTTAAAGAACCACTAACAATGATGAAGAAATGAACAAAATAGGTACTAACAACAATCCCTTCAAAAAGCAGCTCCTG